TGCATCATGGTGAAAATGTTGGGCAAAGTTAGGAAAAATTAAGAAAATTTCATAACTTAGAAAAATTCTAAGTTATGAAAATTTTCAACTTTAAACCCTAATTTGCAATTTTGGGTTTCTTGATGAACAAGTTTCATGTTTTGACATATATTAATGAAAAATGACCCTTGGCACTTGATTTTGACCAAAAAGTCAAAGTTTGACTTTTCAGTGTACAGTTAAATTTTGATCAGTTGACTAAATAATTCATCTGTCAATCCAATTCAATTGGGATCTTTTGAACTTTGTGAATATGTCAAGATGATGTCATTGAGTCCTTGAGTCCATTCTTGAACCCAATTTGCCATTGGCTAGGTCAAAAAGTTAGAAATTGCCTTTGTACAGTCAAAACCCTAAAAATGACCATTTTGCCCTTTTGATGATCTGATCAAATTTCTTGAGGAGTTATGGTCCAAACTTGATCAAATGGCTCATATGAGTTCATAATGTTTATGTGGGTCAAAATTCATGAGGTTTGACTATAAATTGGCCACAGTTGACTTTTTCCCTAATACAGCTGATTTCTAGGTCAACTGTCCAATTGACTGGGTAAAAATTTGATTCAAGGCTTGAAACTTGGTGTGGACCAACTTATGAGTCCAACATGAAGTATGAAAGTCATTTTGAGCATTAGAAGTCCAAAAATCCCTGTGCAAACTCAAACCCTAATTTGGGTCAACAGTGCAAGGAGATGTCTTGAGCAGTGCAAACCCTAGCTTGGTCTGGAGTTCAAAGAGTCTTGTGAGGGGAAATATTGATAAAATGAGAGGGAAAATTTTGGGGTACAACACCGGGTACAATGGTTTATCCTTGTCACTTCATAGAGTATAACACGCATGTGCCCTCTTAAACGAATCTTGTCCAATATCACGCATCATCTCTTCTAGACGATAATCCATTTCTACACTAACATCATCTCTTTGAGACACATTTAACTTTGCTACTACTTCACCGTGCCATATCCATTCTGTATAAATTTGACAAATCCCTACACAAATTAGATGATCCATGATTTCTTTCTTACTATGTTTTGGTTCTTTATTTGCACAACGAACACATGGACAGAGAAAAAGCACAGAAAGACTTTTTTCATCATTACTTTCAACAAACTGTAGAAATTCCATCACTCCATATTCGTACTCGTCACTTAATTGATTAGCTCTCATCCAACTACGATCCATAACTATGTTCACACGGAGGAAGGTCTGACGAAGGGTGTGCCCGTGGCTGCGCTACTTCACAGATATTCTGAGATCGCAAGTTGCGCTGCTTCGCGGATAAAGAAAAATAGAATCAAATTTCAATGGCAATGGCTTAACTCTATTAAGTTTGATAGGTTAAAGATAAATTGTGTGTCTCTGAGTGGACCATTAACGTTTCTTTCGGAGGTTTCTAAGGAGACAATTTCTCTAATGAAAAAGAATGACATATACACAACATGTACTATATTCTTAACTCTATACAAAATATATATTATTTATAACTAATTAGACTTAATTAACCTCTCTAAGAATTATAAACTGTGTAGTAATTGAAAAACAGATATGAACAAAGGAATGGATTCACCAAGCCACTGAGTTAGTATCTAGTATAATCTTCTAATTGTTTTTATATGTACTTCTAATTTTTTATAATGTATCTCAGTAGCAAGAAAAGCAGCAAGAATATCTTAAAAACTTTTTTGTATATATACCTCTTAGAAATCCATAGATATACAATGAAGTTGAACAAAATAGAAAATTTCTTACCAGAATCGTAGTTGGACGGCGGAGGGGGTTTCGAAGATGGCAGTAGGTTGTGACGACCGGAGATTCGAGGTTGTCTTCGTGCACGGAGGGAAATGGCGGAAAGTGACGAAAGTTCATAGGCGGAGACGGACAAAGGGCGGAGGGCGTTCGTAGGCAAAGACGGACGTACGGTGTAGGCAGAACGGAGGGCGGAGATGGACGGATTGTGTAGGCGGAGCGGAGGGCAGAGGTCGTTCGTAGGCGGAGCGGAGGGTTTTGAAGATAAAATAACGAAATGTACAGCAGTGAGGGTTTATTTGTTAAATATATATTATAGTTTTTACATCAGTCGAAATCAATAACTGATGTAATGGTTATTTCATAATCATGTTTTTACATCGGTTCTAATCAATAACCGATGTATTGGTTGTTTTTTACATCGGTGGAACGCAAGGCCTGATGTAAGGGTTTTCTGGTTTTTTACATCGGTAGTTCGCAAGGCCCGATGTATGGGGTTTCTGGTTTTTTATTTACCAATCTGCCACCTAGTTTTTTATTTACAATACTGCCACAGTGTTTTTTTTACAAAACCTTTTACATCGGTGGATTAATTGGACGATGCAATAGCTAGCGAAAAATATTTTTTTAATATTTTTTATATCATTGCAAATAAATACCTGATGTAAAATCTTTTTAATTTTATTTTTTACATCATATATTTTTATACCTGATGTAAAGACCTTTTCTCAAATGTCATTTTTTAGTAGTGCATGGGCTCCAGATGAGTTAATACTTGGGTGTAGTGATTACCCGACTTCCAAATTCAAATGAGTTAGTACTCGATCATATTACCCTTTGTCTATGTAATCAATTATACATCTTACCCTTGCTTCTGGTGACTTTATAACTCGGCTAGAGTAAATATTTTCGCGATGTACATAAGCCTTCAGAGTATGAATTTTGTTATAAGAATGAAATATTCGATCAAGGAGAGCCTGAGATGTATTAAGGCTAAGCCCGAGTTATAAACCTGACACCCCTTCTCCGGCTCACGTGTCAAGTAATGAAGAGTCACGTCCCTTGAGCAACTTTTCTCTCTTATAGCATAATGATGAATTTTATTGGGAATTGATGCTAGCGAATATTCCTTTCTTACGCCATTGTTCATTAGAGCCCTATTTAAACTATATTTACCTCTTCCTTTTTCATCTCATAAGCACATGTAACGTCTCTCTTCAGCGAAACTCGCATTGATCAAAGCGTTCATCACTTTCAGGTATTTCCTTCTCCTTTTCCGTTCTTTTATTGTTTCCTCTTTTTTCGTTTTAGAGAATGGTAACCATAAGAAAGTGTGACGGTGAGGGAAGCATTGTAAAACCCAAAAATATTGAGGAGATAAAAGAATTGTGTGACCACTACATGCATAGGAGTAAGGGTGCCTTAGGTCGGGAGGAGTTTGATCGAGTCATAAAAGAAGTTTATGGTGATATTTTTGCCTCTTTACGTGATTCTTGTTAGACTACGGTAACTCATCTAGAGGGGGTGAATAGATGTCCAAATTAAAAATGACATTTCAAAAAAATTGTTATTTATAACTTATTTGAAAAAAAATGTTGAGCGGAAGGTTTTTGGCCTAGATCAAAATAGTAGTCTAAACGAACCTAGTTATTGGAAACTCGGATATGCACAAGTCATATGAAATTAAGATAATGATAAAATAAATAAACATAATAAGATATCCATCAATAGCTTAATATCAAACACAACAGTTTCCTATTTTCAATGAAATCATATTAAAACAATAACTTGACATTTTAACGAACATGTGACGCGCAATCAAATTTTTAGAATTTTCTTTGAGCTTTGTTGATATGCAAAATCACTTACAATCAAAGTGATTATAAGCTAATAAACAAAGAAATTTAAGCTCTAATAATCAAAGATAAATTCAATATGAATCAATCGATCAAACAATACATTCAACAAATTGCATATAGAATGTAAATGAGAGTAAGAGATAGAACATTATAATTTTCCTTTGAGTTAAACAAGCTAAGAAATTTGTCAAACACTTGGTGTGCAATGAAAGTTTCATAATTTTTCTTTGTGTTGTGTTGATATGAAAAAAATACTTATAATAAAAAGTGATTATAAGCAACTCAACGCACAAAAATATTTTTGGAAAATTCCTACGCGTCGATAGATTAATCAATGATATTTGACAAATTGATATATGAAAATTAAAACAAGTAAATCAATAAAAGAAAAGAGACATAAGGATTTGTCTATACAGTTCCCAAATTTAGTCATAATCCTCAGAATCAGTTCTTCAGAATGTGATGGACTTGTTTGAGCCTTTTTCGGAGGATTCTGAGCATTAAAATTTTTTCTCATTATGCATCTTCTGATTCCTTTACTTTTTCGTACTTTTATCCTTGAATTTTGCAAACTGCGTTCATGTTCATTGATCTAGTGTTACTAAGTCTATGATATTTCCTCATTATATCATCTTTGAAACCCATGACATTTCCGGGCTTAAGTTCCAGACTTTGGAACATATATCTTTTTCCCATCATGAGTTGCAAGCAACTAGAGTCCATGTAGCAATACTATTAGCACATTCACGTAACGACAACAGCAGTTACTTGATCCTTTCCTCTAGCATCTCCTTAATTATAGCAGTAGTTATTACAATTTGAAAATATTGTATAGTTATTATATATTAAATTAGCCATTATGTGTATTGATTTGTTGCCTTAGTTTTAGCTGATCTATTATACTATTGTTGGAAACAAATTAATCTCCATTATCATGTATCTCCTATTTATTCCAATCATCATTCATGTGAATAATACAACTAAAATATACACATTCTGTATATTCTATATGGTATCAGAATAGCCATTGCTTCACAGCTTTTTTTTAACGATCCTTATCATGGCAGCACCAAACAACAACTCTAACCTTAACGAACTTATGGACTTCAACATAAATTCTCACCTTCCAATTAAGTTAAATGGAACCAATTACCCTGCTTGGTACAAACAATGCAGTGCACTCCTCATTGCTCGTGACCATGAAGGTTTTGTTACAAGCACAAATAAGTGTCCTCATACTACTATTGTTACCGGTAAAACTACATCACCAAATCCTGATCATTCCTTATGGATCATACAAGATCAACTAATTTATCTTGATCTTCGTGGCTCCTGTGATTGTGAAGCATGATCTGTCATGGCGGCTTCAAATACGTCTTATGACGCTTGGACTTCTCTTGCTCGTGCCTTCTCAAACCGATCACAGTCCAAAATTAAGTCACTCCGAGAACGTCTCAGTTCAATCACTAAGGGGAATTCCTTTGTCTCAACCTATTTGCATTCAATCCGCAATATTGCTGATGAATTAGCCCTCATTGGTCATCCTATTGACAACCTTGAAATGGTTATTCATTCCTTGAATGGTCTCGGATCGACCTTCCGGGACTTTACTACTACTATTCGCACTCATGACTCATCAATCGCCTTTAACGAACTCTATGACAAATTGGTGGATTTTGAGATGTTTTTGTAGCGAGAAGAACAGATCTCGACATCGGCTCCCATCACTGCCAACATTGTACAACGTCATTACAACGGCTACAATCGAAGACGTCATCACACCGGCCGCAACAATCATAACCATAACCATGATTCACAAAGTCGCAACAACTATAATGGTCATGATCAAACTTTCCCAAACACTAAGAAGCCAACATCCAACAATGTTGTCATATGTCAATATTATGAAAAATCTGGCTACACAGCAAAATCGTGCTACAAGATTAATGGCTACCCAAACAAGCCTCGCCATCCTACTGTGCATGTTGCACAAACAGTGGCCTTTCACTCGTCTCCACCTTCATGGCTCTTTGATTCCAGCGCATCCCACCATATTACCAAAGACATGAGAAATTTATCCATCAAAGAAGACTATCATGGATCTGACAATCTCCAAGTTGCAAATGGTAATCAACTTCCCATTACTCATATTGGTTCCACAAATATTTCCACAAATAATTCTTCCTTAAAGTTGTCAGATATTCTCTATGTTCCAAATGTTACTCAAAATTTGATATCTGTCTCTCAACTGTGCCAAACTAACAAAGTTTCTATTGAATTTTTCCCTTGGCATTTCGAGGTAAAGGACTTGCATACGAAGGAGATTCTTCTGGGAGGATTGAATGAAGATAATGTGTACAGGTTTCAACCAAATGCACCAGCCCCGGAAATTTCCTTTACACTCTCCAACTCCTCACTCAAACTATGGCACCACAGACTCAGTCATCCTGCACCTCTTACTCTCCTTCACGCCCTCAAGTCAAACAATATTTCCTATTATTGTTCCTTTAATAAATGTCTAGATTATCTTTCTAATAAGATTCATAAACTACCATTTTCAAGGTCTTCTATTTCGAGTTCTAGTCTCTTGGAAATTTTGTACTCAGACTTATAGGGACCGACTCCAGTAAATTCAATTGATGGTTTTCGTTATTATGTAATCTTTGTGGACCATTTTTTCAAGTATGTTTGGCCCTACCCTCTAAAACTCAAATATGATGTTTCAACAATATTTCTAATTTTTAAAACCTTGGTAGAAAGACAATTTAACTCTAGAATTAAAACCCTTTACTCTGACAATGGTGGAGAATTTATAAAAATTCGACCATTCTTACAAGCCAATGGTATCTCTCACTTAACCACCCCACCCCATACTCCTGAACACAATGGTCTCTCTGAATGAAAGCATCGTCACCTCACTGAAACTGCTCGCTGCCTCCTAAACCACGCCTCCCTACCTTCCAACTTTTGGTCATATGCCTTTCAAACAGCAGCCTATCTAATTAATCGGTTACCCACTCATGGTCTTAACATGAGCACACCACACCATGTACTATTTAAATCCCTCCAAACTACAAAAAACTAAAAACATTTGGGTGTCTATGCTCTCCTTGGCTTAAACCATACATAAATAATAAGTTAGAACCAAGATATGAACCATGCTTGTTCCTTGGATACAGTTTCACACAAAGTGCATACATTTGCTTCAATTTCAAAAACAACAAAATCCACCATTCTAGACCCGTTCAATTTGTAGAAGACATTTTCCCATACTCACCAAACAAAAATAAACCATCACATATATCTCACCTTGATCCAAACTATAAACAACCTTCTACAAATATAGGTTATAGTGTTCAACCTTTAACATCTATAATACCAATCTCAAAATCTAGCCCCACTAACCTTACTCAAATCTCTCGCTCAGCCACCCCCACCTCATCCAGATCACTAACAAATTCCTTAACCCAAAGTGATACCCCTCCTCCCAATCAACCCATCAATACCCCTCCTCAAACCACAATAGATTATCCACCTCAATCACCACCTGTACATGTTTCATCTTCATCTCAATCACTTGCAGAAGGCTCTTCTTCTCAAGCTTCAACTTCGGTAATGCCCAATCACTCCATGATCACTTGTGGAAAAGCGGGAATATTCAAACCAAAAAAACTTTTTTCTGTGTCTAAACATCCACTACCACCAGCTGAAGAACCAACATGTGTATCCAAAGAAATACAGAGCCACGAGTGGAAACAAGCAATGTATGAAGAATTTACAACTCTCATAACTAATGGTACATGGTCTTTAGTTCCTCCACATCCCCATTTTAATTTCATTGTAAACAAATGGGTGTTTTGCCTGAAAAGAAATTCGGATGGATCCATCGCTCGTTACTAAGCGCGACTTGTTGCAAAGGGTTTTCATCAACGACCATGTATTGATTATAAAGACACTTTTAGTCCTGTTATCAAGCGGCAAACTATCAAAATGGTGTTGTGTATTGCACTTTCATAAGGATGGAATTTAATCCAAATGGATGTTAATAATGCCTTTTTGCATGGTACCATATCCGAAGATGTCTACATGTGTCAACCATATGGCTTTGTTCATCCTACACTATCTGATCATGTATGCAAGCTCCACAAAGCATTATATGGTCTAAAACAAGCTCCTCAAGCCTGGTACAATGAATTAAAAACCTTTGTTGTTACAATCACGATAATGCCACTGCCTATTTCCTAGTATATGTTGATGATCTACTTCTTACGGGAAACAATATCAGCTTCATAAATAAATTCATGGTTGATCTTGCTACAAAGTTTTCTCTAAAAGATCTTGGAAGACCAAGTCATTTTCTTAGTGTCGAACTCATTCCCACAAACATCGAAATTTTCATGTCTTAACATCATTATATTTGAGACATGCTGCACAAAGGAAATATGATTGATGCTAAGCCAGTAGGAACTCCAATGTCTACCACTTGCTCCCTTGGCATCCGGGATGATACACCTCCATGTGACGCTACTTCTTTTCGCAGCATTCTTGGGTCTTTGCATTATTTATCTATCACTAGACCAGATGTGGCATTTGTTGTCAATAAGTTGTCACAGTTCATGCAAGCACCCTCAATAACTCACATACAAGCTCTCAAACGCATTCTCTGATATCTCAAGCACACTATCTCACATGGTCTCCATCTAGTAGCAACAAAGAATCTTGAACTCACTGCCTTTTGCAATGTAGATTGGGGCGGTGACACAATTGATTGAAAGTCCATGGGTGCCTACATAGTTTATCTCGGACCCAATGTCATTTCTTGGTCCTGCAAGAAACAACCTACAGCTACGAGATCCTCCACAGAGGTTGAATATCGCACAATCGGAACTACTACATCTGAACTCTTATGGTTACAACAGCTTCTATTGGAACTTGGGATCAAAATCACTCATCCGCCGAACATATTTTCCGATAATATTAGTGCAACATATCTTTGTGCAAATCCAGTGTTTCACTCACGAATGAAGCACTTAGCTACCGACTATCACTTCGTTCGTGACATCATTGCAAAAGGTGAACTCAAAGTGTCTCATGTACCTTCTAGTCACCAACTAGCAGATTTACTAACGAAACCACTCTCTCGGCCTCGTCATGAGTTTCTTCTCTCCAAGATTGGCGTCGTTGACCACTCCTCCATCTTGTAGGGGCGTATTAGCACAGTCACGTAACTGCAACATCACTTACTTGATCCTTTTCTCTAGCAGCTTCTTAATTATAGCAGTAGTTGTTTCAATTTGAAAATATTATATAGTCATTATATATTTAAATTAGACATTATGTGTATTAATTTGTTGTCTTAGTTTTAGCTTATCTGTTATCATGTATCTCCTATTTATTCCAATCATCATTCATGTGAATAATACAACTAAAATATACACATTATGTATATTCTATAAATACAAGTGTTTCAATTGCGCTGCTAAGAATATCTACAACATAGATTATCTTATTCTTTGGTACCCATAATTTTTTAGGTTCTTTTTTGTTAGTTCTATCAGAGTTACGAAAACTTTAATTTCAATAGTAAAATAATCAATTTAAAAACAAATATAAAAAAATTAAAATATTTAAAAAATCTATTTTTTTTACGTGTCCGTATGAACAATCTAATCCAATAAATTATTTCAACTTATTTCAATCAAATTCCTATATAACATAGAAATAGAGTATATTTAATTAGTATCAACAGTCTTTTCTAATAGATTGACCTAATTATTATTTTTTTACAGAAATTTTTTTACGTATATAAAAGGATGAATAATTATTTTTTTCTTAACACTCTTACTTTTATCTTGGTAGGCTTATTCGAGTAGAATCACATGAAATATTGTTATCACAGAAAATCTGATTGTCACGGTGTAAATCCAAAATGTTGAGGAGGTGTACAGGAACACTCTGACTACAAAACAAAGTGGCTCCGCCCCACAAGTATGCATGCCCCCTTTCCAAAGAATGGGTTTTATTAGGTACTATACTAGCGATCACTATTTTTTTCTCTATTTTTTTTCTTCTTTTGTTGATCTTTACCATAATTCTTAATAAATTGTGAACTGTGATATGTTGATACATTCCTCGTTATCTTTAAATATGAATAAGCACATATTTAAAAATAGTGATAAACAAACTTAAACTGTCCAAATGAAATCAGCCAATCTGTCATATTTTTTTATAAACGAATTGGGTCAAGTGTCATCAAGTTGATTCAATTACTTAATTATGTTAGAATCATCAAAAACCAAAAACAACCAAACATATTATGTATTTTTATTATTATATAAGTGATTTATCATTGTGATATTATGTATTTACAATATATATATATATATATATATATATATATATATATATATATATATATATATATATATATATATATATATATATATATATATATATATATATATATATATATATATATATATATATATATATACTATTTAATTTATAATTTAAAGTAATTATCAAATTAATGTCAAATAATATTTAAAACGTTACCTTCTAATAATAACAAAAAAGTTAATAACAAAAAAATTTAAATACCATTTAATTTGTAATTTGAAGGATGATAATTGTCAAATTAATCTTAAATAATATTTAAAATATTATCTCCTAATAATAACTTGTTTAGATAAT